CAGGCTCCATGCACCGGGAGCCCGACGTGGGATTCGATCCCGGGTCTCCAGGATTGCGCCCTGGGCCAAAGGCAGGCGCCAAACTGCTGCGCCACCCAGGGATCCCTCATTTTTTGCTCTTAAGATCTAATGAATCACAGAAGAAAACCCTAAGAATCACAAATAAGTAAGATACTTATTTTAATTTTCAGAGCTAAACAAATATGCTGCACATATAAATTTAGAATTTTAAGAAAAGGCAAAATAAAACTGTCCTGTTTCTTTTTTTTCCTACACTATGAGGCATTAAAGGAAAGAAAGAAAGAAAGAAAGAAAGAAAGAAAGAAAGAAAGAAAGAAAGAAAAGAAGAAAGAAAAGAAAAGAAGAAAGAAAAGAAAGAAAAAAGAAAAGAAAGAAAGAAAAGAAAAGAAAAAGAAAGAAAACAGAGAGAGAGACAGCCACGGGTATGAAGGTAAAGAGAGAAGTCACCAAGAAAGGATGAAGTCAGAAAAGGAAAGATAAAGAGGGAGATAAGAGAGAGAGGCAGGAGGCACCTGGGTGGCTCAGTCAGTTAAGCATCTGCTTTCAGCTCAGATCATGATCTTAGGGTTCTGGGATGGAGCCCTGCATCGGGCTCTCTGCTCAGCAGGGAGTCTGCCTCTCCCTTTCATTTTCCCTCTGTTCTCTCTCTCTCTCAAATAAATAAATAAAGACTTTATAAAAAAAAGGGACAGAGAGAGAAAGAGAGGTACACACTGCTGAATATGTGCTGCTAGCTGTGGAATTAAACAGGGACATAGATAACAAGGCCCACAATAGGCAAAGACAAAGACATTTAATATAGAATGGCAGGGAGTGACATAAACATGAGAGTCTTTCATAGGATATAAGTGACCTTTTCTGAGTTTACTGTTAATCATTGGATTTTTATTGCTATAAGAGAAAATACTACTATTTGGTCTTATCAGCTAAAGAATATAAAAAACCAAGCACAGCATAGATCTTTATTTACCATTACTACTACTCCTACTTCTCTCAATATCTAAATTTGAGGTTTTAAAGAATTACTGGTGTGATGATGGTACTATAGTTATGATTTTTAAATCTTTATTTTCAGATTAGTTGCTGAAATACTCATGGTGAAATGATACGATGTCTAGAATTTGTTTCAAAATAACCTGGTGTGGGGGTAGAGAAGAATAAAGTGGATAGAGGTATAGATTATCTGGGATGCCTGGGTGGCTCAATGGTTGGGCACCTGCTTTTGGCCCAGGTCATGATCCTGGGAACTGGGATTGAGTCCTACATCAGGCTCGCTGCGAGGAGCCTACTTCTCCCTCTGTCTATGTGTCTGCCTCTCTCTCTCTTTCTCTCTCATGAATAAATAAATAAATCTTAAAAAAAAAAAAAGAAGTATAGATTATCATTGAGTTGACTAATTGTGAAAGCTGGTGATGGGGGTTCATTTTACCCTTTTCTCTATTCTTACACTGGTTGAAATTTGGTATAATAAAATTTTAGGACTGTCTTTTAAGCATAATTAAGAAAGTCAAGGATTAGGTTAGATTGGATTTGTTTAGAAATTTATCAGGCCACTAAATCAATCTACTTATAAAATTAAATCTTATAAGTGAGGGACCCCTGGGTGGCTCAGTGGTTGAATATCTGCCTTCGGCTCAGGGCATGATCCCAGGATCCAGGATTGAATCCCACATCAGGCTCCTTGCAGGAAGCCTGCTTGTCCCTCTGCCTATGTCTCTGCCTCTCTCTCTCTCTCTCCCTTTCTCTTTGTGTGTCTCTCATGAATAAATAAGCAAAAATCTTTTTGCAAAAATCTTATAGGTGAAAACAAGACTTAGTAGTTCTTAAGTTGAAGGGAAGAAATGTGACAAATGTAGAGCAAGTATAAGAAATTTAACACACATTTCTTTTTGCAAAAATCTTTTTGCAAAAATCTTATAGGTGAAAACAAGACTTAGTAGTTCTTAAGTTGAAGGGAAGAAATGTGACAAATGTAGAGCAAGTATAAGAAATTTAACACACATTTCTTGGAAAAAATAATAATTTTAAAAATCCTGACTTGCCTGAATCTGACAAAGATCTTTTCATAAAATGCAAAGCTACAGATTGAGGATCATTGGACAAACTTTAAGGCTGGTGGGCTCATCCAAAACACTCATTTTATTTATTTATTTATTTATTTATTTATTTCCCAAAACACTCATTTTAATGTTGGCAAGGCCCAGATAGGGTTAAGTGACTTATCAAAGGTCTGACTTTTCTCCCACATGTCTATTAATACTGAGAATAAATTTTTGTATATGATTTTCCTAATACAACTCTAAGCATTTTTCTATATTAGTATATCTTTTATAATAATTATTTTTAATGGTTGTTTAATATTTCATGGAATAAACATAGTTCACTTATTCATTCTCTTCTAATTTGGTATCCATATTATTTTCAACTCCTTATTTCTATAAAGGACACTGCTATGAACATATTTATATTCAAAACATCATTATGGTCAGTATTGCCATAAAAATAATATTTGATTTTTTTCAGAAGCTAAAACCTTCTAACGGAAGCATTTTCATCCTGTGAAAATTTATTAAGGGGCAAAATAAAGTTTGATCCTCCACTTTCTCTAATGATCCAGCTCACAGAATAGTCAGAGTGATAGAGAAGGGTTGAAGACTATTTTGAGAATTGTTTTGGGCAAAACAAGGCTTACATTGGTAGAGAGAGAGAAAAAAAAATTAAGATTTTATTTATTTATTTATTTATTTATTTATTTATTTATTTGAGAGAAAGAGCAAGAGAGAGCATGAGCCAGGGGAGGGGCAGATGGAGAAGGAAATGCAGACTCCTTGCCAAGGGCGGAGCCCTTGAGGGGCTTGATTCCAGAACCCAGAGATCATGACCTGAGCTGAAGTCAGACCGTTAACCAACTGAGCCACACAGGCACCTGAGAAAAAATTTTTTTAACTAGAATTATACTCTACCTGTTGAAAAGCTTTTTCTGCTTGACGTTCAGCATCAATAACTTGTCTCTCAAGCTGTTGCATCTGTAAAGTGTGGAAAAACAGAGAAAACATAAAAGTTCCTATTTCTTACGAAAATAACTTAAAAATCTTGCAAGGCTATCAAATTCTTTTCTTTTTTTTCAAATTATTTTAGAACAGTTAAAGTAGTTTAATGGATATGAATTACATACAATTTACGACACTAAAGACAAGAGCATATTTAAAAATTGACCAGGGGCGCCGGGTGGCTCAGGTCATGACCCCAGGACCCCAGGACCCAGCCTCAGGCTCCCCACTCGACGGGGAATCTGCTTCTCCCTCTCTCTCTCCCCCCTGCTCATTCCCACTATCTCTCTCAAATAAATAAAGTCTTTAAAAATGATCAAATAACATACAAAATATTTCATACTTTTAGCACAATGTAATACATGCTACAAAAGTACTCATCCATAGAATTTTCTTCATTGAACCATAAATTACTGGACAACACATATTAATAACAGTAATTTAAATCTAAAAGAACAGTAAGACCTCAAATGTCATTTTTGATTTGTGATCAAAAAGTCACAATGACACCAACAAGTGGTGTATTCTCAAAAGCTCCATAGGTGGTATGTTTAAATCAAAACTCTAGGGGATCCCTGGATGGCTCAATGGTTCAGCGCCTGCCTTTGGCCCAGGGCATGATCCTGGAGTCCTGGGATCGAGTCTTGCGTCAGGCTCCCTGCATGGAGCCTGCTTCTCCCTCTGCCTGTGTCTCTGACTCTCTCTGTGTCTCTCATGAATAAATAAATAAAATCTTAAAAAAAAATCAAAACTCTAGGTAGTTTGAATTCTTATTTATTGTAGTAGAGTAGAAAAGAGATTCTGATTTCACACACACACACACACACACACACGTCCTCAAAAGTGTATGGCACAGGAATAAAAAAAAAATTTAGTTTTCTTTTAAACTTCTGTAGAGAATAAAAACTTGGGAGATTTATTTATCTTTTTTAAAAAAAGATTTTATTTATTTACTCATGAGAAACACAGTGACATAGACAGAGGGAGAAACAGACTCCCCACAGGGAGACTGGTAGGGGACTCAATCCTAAAACCCCAGGATTGAGTCCCCCACCAGATGACCTGAGCCAAAGGCAGATGCTCAACCACTGAGCCATCCAGAGATTTAAAGCAAAATACTAAAGTGACTATTAAAATAAATAAATAAATAAACAAATAAATAAATAAATAAATAAAATAAAGTGACTATTATAAGTAAAACAAAGAAAAGCCTTAAAAAGAATCTGATGCAAATTAACATAAGAGATGTGTACCAGGTACTAAATACACAACTATGATGTAAACCTCAATTTTTGGTTATTTTTTCTGACTGTTGAAATATGATCAACAGTAGAGCCATCTGTCGCTGGATCTTTGCTCATTTTCAGTCTCATTGCTGGTTAGTATCCAGAACTCCTACCGCATCTCAAACTCAAGGGCATCCCGGGTACCACCCCGACGGCGGACACGCCCAGCTCCAGCCCCGCCCCCTTCTCGAAACCACAGAGAAGCGGCCTCCCGCGGCCAGAGCGGCCCAGCCAGGAGGGCGGCCATAGCTGCGGGCCACTTGGGCTGCAGGGACCTGACCCAGGCAGCGTTTGACTCGCGCTGACTTAATGCCTAAAGGAGGGTTTCTGCTGTGGGTGTGTTTTTTTGTTTTGTTTTGTTTTTGTTTTTACTAGTATGGTGCTTGGGAGCACTTAGTGTGTTTTGATAACTATGTGGCCACTTAATATTCAACAGAGGTAACGACCACGATCACCATCACCTTTGCCCACCAAACAGAAAAACAGGATGCAACGCATGGATCTTAATAACACTATTCGTGTTGACCGTATCAGCCTTGGAGAATCCGAGATGACCGTTACTAGGCTGTCCTGAACCTGCACCAAGCTCTGACACAACAGAGCCCTACACTGCTCAAAATGATAGATTGTTAATATTTTTTAAAATGACATGTGGTTAGAGATAAGGCCAACTTACAAATGTCTTTGAAAAGCATGGCGACAACTACAACTGGTTCTTTCTTGCACATCCCACTACGTTTTGCTGTCATTGACAATTCAGTGTATCTGCCCTTTACTAGGGCTTTAACATGACCTTTCTACATGGGCCACACTATAACATGGCAACCTCCAAGACCTGGCTGTGGAAGGAGAAATTGTCAAGTCTAGAGTCTGAGACAGCCTTCTCAGTAAGTCTGAGAAGTGTGCAGATTGAAGTGTGATTTGGAAATTATCTGAAGACATTCGGCTGGTGGTCAGCCTCAAATAAGCTGCAGTTCTTGCAGAAAATGCAGAGGCTTCTAAGGAAGAGTTGTATTTAATACAAATCCATTTGCACATCTTATTCAATGTGTAATAACCCTCAGCAAGTAGTGGAAGGCTGCTGTTTGGGTATGGCTATTACTTTTAATGGGCCAACTCCCAGAAAGGCGATAGTAATGATGTATGGTGTACACTGGCTCAGGGCATTCATTATTTCAACAGTATACTGGTTTGTTTTTTTTGTTTTGTTTTGTTTTTTTTTTTCTTCCAGATGGTTCAGAATATGACTGAGGGTTGAGGGATAATAGAATTGTGCTGTCCAGAAGCACTTAAAATGTGAATCTACTTGCAATGTGAATTGAGATATGCAAGTGTAAGGACGCCTGGGTGGTGCCGTGGTTGAACCTCTGCCTTTGGCTCAGGGCATGATCCAAGGGTCCGGGGTTAGTCCCACATCGGGCTCCCTGTGAGGAGCCTGCTTCTCCCTCTGCCTACGTCTCTGCCTCTCTCTCTCTGTCTCCCATGAATAAATAAATAAAATCTTTTAAAAAAAGAGAGAGAGATATAAGTGTAAAGTACACACTTAATAATACATATGTTATTTGAAAACCTAATATGAAAAGTATAAACCATCTCAGTAATTTTTATGTTGACTAACATTGAAATATTTTTAATATGTTGCATTAAATGTAAAATTGTTTTTTATTTTATTAATTTGTTTAATAGAAAAGTTTAAACTACATATGTGTCTGTATTACATTTCTATTGAATAACGAAAGTGTGAAACATTCCATTGTTATCATACCTGGCCATTTAACTTCCTGTCCACATAGCAGCATTTTTTAAGACAGTTTATTGCAGGGATCTAGCTTCTAGAAGAGGTTTCAAATATTTGAGTGTATAAATAGATATTTCCTGAGTGTATTCTCTGGACCCCATATCATCTTGGATTTTTGTGAAAATATTTCAAATGTTTAATAAGCCAATACTGTTGTCTAAAAGCATTTTATTGAATTACTGTATAGACTGTGGCACTACATATAAGCCATTGGACAGGCACTGTCTCCTGTCTAGGATGTTCTTTAAACCAAAAAAAGAAAAAAAAAAAAAGAAAACAACTGGCAGACACATGCCAACACTACATTCCTCCACTACTGACAATATGCTGATAAGCGTCACCTCTACAATGTAACTTTATATTATTAGGGAAAATTTGCACCTGTAGAGACTTAACCTCAATTTTGAATATTGTTAAGGCTGCCAGGAAAATCCACAAACAAATTGCTGATCTGTAAAATTTTGCTGGTGAAAAAAAAAAAAAAAGATTATTGACACATCTATTATAATGGCCGAAATCCAGAACACTGACAACACCAAATGTTGGTGAGGACACGAAGAAACAGGAACTCTCATTCATTACTCATGGGAATGCAAGATGGTGCAGCTATTTGGAAGGCAGTACTCTTACTATTGATCTAGCAATCACACTCCTTGGTATTTATCCAAAGGAGTTGAAAACTTATGCCAACACAAAACCTTGCATACAGATGTTCACATCAGCTTTATTCATAATTGCCAAAACTTGGAAGCAATCAAGATGCCCTTCAGTAGTGAATGGATAAATAAACCATAGTACATCCAGACAGTGACATATTATTTAGCACTAAGAGGAAATAGCTATAAAGCCATGAAAAGACATGGAGGGAATTAAATGCATATTATTAAATGAAAGAAGCCAATTTGAAAGGACTACATATTGTATGATTCCAACTGAGGCGAGGGGACAAATAAACAGGGCACAGAAGCTTTTCAGGGCAGTAAAAATACTCTGTAGGATACCATAATGATGGATACATGTCACTATACATTTATCTAAATCCATGGAATGTACACAAAGAGTGAAACTATAGACTCTGGGTTTTTATAATGTGTCAGTGTAAGTTTGATGGGGGAACACAGGGCTAGCTGAGGACAAACCACGAGCCCGGGGCAGCACACTGACAAGTCCTTGAAACAGGCAAAGGGACATTCCCCTCTGGACTCAACTGCCTCGATGTTAATATTTTGCTAAGGGCAAACAGCAATCTTAGCCCGCAGGGTCCTGTAAGTCTACTTTAACATATAAAAATTCCTTTAGAAAGTTCCTTTATCTCTATGCCCCAACATACATGTTGGCAATCATCTCCCAAGCACATGGCCCACAAATATACATCTGAAAGGTCTCGGGACTCAGGTTTTATTAGACAGTAATAAGTGACCTCTTCCCAACAATAGCTAGCCCCCTCAAGGTTCTGGAAAACTTGCTTCCAAATTCCTTAGAGAGTACGCTATCCTCAAACCCCTCCCAACTCCCAGGTATATAATCAGCCACCCCTCACAGGCCCCGGTGCAGCAGGTCTTCGTGCCCACGGGTCCTGTCCTCGTGCTTTATAAAACCACCATTTTGCACCAAAGATGTCTCAAGAATTTTCTTGGTCATCGGCTCCGAACCTCACCCCACCAAATCTCACCTATATTCCCAAACTTCATCAGGTTCATCAGTTGTACCACTCTGGTGGGGGATGTTGGTAATGAGGAAAGCTATATGGAAGATTTCTGTACCACCCAATATTTTGTGTGTGAACCCTAAACTGCTCTAAAAAATAAAGTCTTAAAAGACTGAATAGTTTCTTAAAAGGATTGTTATGGTCTGAATGTTTGTGTGCCCCCCCCCCCAAATTCACATTAGAATCTTAATGTCCAATGTGATGGTAATTAGGTCCTGAGGATGAGAGTCTCAGGAATGGGATTAGTGCTTTTATAATAGAGATCCTACGGAGCCTCTTCTGCCAAGTGAAAATACTAGTCTAAGACCTAGAACCTGACCTTGCTGGCACCCTGATCTCAGACTTCCAGCCTCCAGAATTGTGAGAAATAAATTTCTATTGTTCATAAGCTACACAGTCTGTCATATTTTGTTACAGCAGCACAAATGGACCAAGACAGAAACTGGCACTAAGAGTAGAGTGCTGCTGTAACGAATACCTAAAAATGTGGAAGTGACTTTGGAATTGGGTAATTGGTAAAAAGCAGAAGAATTTTGGGGTGCATGGTAGGAAAAAACCTACATTGCCATGAACAGACCATTTAACACAATTCTGGTGAGAATTCAGAGGCAAACAGGAATGCAGCAGAAAGTCAAAGTCTCAGTCTTCTTAGAGAATACCTAAGTGGTTGTGTTTTGTTTTTTTTTTTTTTTTACCTAAGTGGTTGTTAACAGTGTTAGTAGAAATATATGATGATGGTAAAGGCCGTTCTGTTGAGGTCTCAGATGGAAATGAGGAACATGATATTGGAAACGAGAGGAAAAGTGATCCCTGATATAAAGCAGCAAAGAGCTTCACTTAATTAGATTTTCCTCTTGGTGTTTTGTAGAACTTGTGAGCAATGAAATTGAATATTTGACTGAGGAAATTTCTAAGCTAAAGTGTTGAAGGAGTGGCCTAACTCTTCTTGAGTGCTTACAGAAAAATATGAGAAGAGAAATGATTTAAAGATAGATTGTCAGTCAAAGAGGAAGTAGAGCCTAAAAATCTAGATACTTTTCAGCATATCCGTATTGGAAGAAATGGGAAAGCCTGTTCAGGAGAGGCCAGGCTGTGGCCAAACCACCTTTCCATTAAGGAGTCAGTAGGGATTTGAACCACAAAGTTAGGTAGCAACCAAAGAAGGAAAAATCCATATGAACTAAAGAGGAAGGAATGAGGCTGGCTGTTGGACTTGGATTTTACAGGATGGGATCTTAGAGCTATGGCTGTGATACTGGGCTATTCTTCAAGACAAGAAGGAAGGACCCTAAATGCAATTCAGAAATCATCAGAGCTGCCTCCTCAGTTTCTCAAGGCCAAGGCAGGGCATTTCCTGAGTTTTAACCAGCCATACAACCTCTGCCCAAACCAAAGTGGAGCTGCCCAAATCCAAGGGGGCAGGATGGCAACCCATGCCCAGGAGACCCAAGGGGGCATGGCTACCTCCACCTAGATTTGTAAGGATAAAGCCACCTAGTGCTGTGGGTATACAACCCAAGAACAGGGCCACCTCAGGGGCAAGGCCACCAGAGAGCCCCAAAGAGGCCAATTCCCACTGAAGCCATGAGGGTGGGGCCACCCCTAGAATCTCAGATTGGTAAAGCCATCAGTGCACAACTTGAATCCATAAGAGTTGCCCTGCAAAGACATGGAGCTGCAAATGCCCCTGAGTGTCCAGAAGGTGAGACCTTTCCTCCCCTCCAATTGGTCCAAAAGGTAGGACCTCCATCCCAGAGGGCTGAACATCTAGTTAAAGAAGATTATTCTCAAGCTTTAATATTTAATGTTGGTTGCCTTTTGGCCTTTGAACTTGCTTGGAACCTGTTGCCCCTTCTTTCTCTCCTACTTCTCCCTTTTGGAATGAAAGTGTCTATCCTATGTCTATCCATCATTGTATTCTAGAAACACATAATTTGTTTGATTTCACAGGTTCACAGCTGGCGGGGATTTCCTCAGAATGAATCACATTTTGAGTCTCACCCGTACCTGATTTAGATGACACTATGCACTTTGTAGACTTTTAGGGCTATTGGGATAGATGGAATGAATGTATTTTGTATGAGAGAAGGACATGAATCTGGGGGGGTAAGGATGGAATGGTATGGTCTGAATGTTTATGTCCCCCCCACCAAATTCACATGTTGGAATCCTAACACACACTGTGGTGGTGTTAGGAGGTCTCTGAGAGGTGATGAAGTCCCGAGGGGGGGCCCTCATCAATGGGATTAGTGTCCTTATCAAGGAGATCCCACAATGCCTCCTACCCTCTTCCATCATGTGAGGATACAATGAAAAGTCTGCAGTTCAGAAGAGAGCCCTCACCTGACTTAGCCAGCACACTGATCTCAGATTTCCAGCCTCAAAAACTATGATAAACTTTTGTTGTTTATAAGCTACATAGTCTATAGCATTTAGTTATAGCAGAACAAACTAAAGCAAGGACTATAAAAATATCTGGTCAGTTTTCTCTTTCTGGAGTTTGAAAGTATATAGTAGTTAACAGAGCAGAAGCTTTTTCTCTTGGCCTCACTGTAACATATCCTAATACAGGTGTTTATATGCAGTAAGTATTCAATATGTTACAGATTATTGAATGATATTATTCCTGTAAACCACTTTGCATATATGAAGGATAGTATTTTTACTGCTGCAAAATAACTTTTCTTCTGCTCATATGGCATTGACTCTCTCTCTCAAAATAAATAAATAAATCTTTTTAAAAAAATGTAGGCCTTGAAATATTAATATAGAGAAAAGTGGAAAGAGCACTGATGTTGGAGGCAAGACAACTGAAATCCGAATCCAGATCCCACTACTTATGAGCTATATAATGATGGGTAAGTCATTTAACTTCTTTGAGTCTCCATTCCTCATTTGTAAAAGAGTTTAACATTTATCTCACAGTATTTATGTGAAGACTGAGCAGGAGAGTGCCCAGCATTGTGTCTAATACTTAATGGATGCTCAATGGATATTTATATAGCAGCATATTTCTACTATACACATATTTTAGTTTTATGAATAATTTTATTTTTTATTTATTTATTTATTTTTTTAATTTATGATAGGCACACAGTGAGAGAGAGAGAGAGGCAGAGACATAGGCAGAGGGAGAAGCAGGCTCCATGCACCGGGAGCCCGACGTGGGATTCGATCCGGGGTCTCCAGAATCGCGCCCTAGGCCAAAGGCAGGCGCCAAACCGCTGCGCCACCCAGGGATCCCAGGTTTATGAATAATTTTAAATTAGCAAGGCTTAATATAGCAAGTCTAAAATAAGATAGATTCAAGAGATCCAGTTTCTAATTCTCACTCTACTATTCAACAGTTTGACATTGCACTTTAAAATTCTAATTTATAAAATAGGGAAAATATAACCTGCTCTACCTACCTTACAGGAAGTTGTGAGGATAAAAATAAGAAAACACGAAAGTGATGTGAAAAAGCTAATGGTATTTCATGGGATGCCTGGGTGGCTCAGTGGTTGAACGTCTGCCTTCCGCTCAGGGCATGATCCCAGGATCTGGGATCAAGTCCCACATCAGGCTCCTTGGGGGAGCCTGCTTATGTCTGTGTCTCTCATAAATAAATAAAATCCTTGAAAAAAAAGAAAAGAAAAGAAAAAGCTATTGGTATTTCATTAATTAAAAATATATGGTATGACTGAAGTGTTAGAATTTTTTTTCAAGATTTTATTTATTTATTTGACAGAGAGAGAGAGAGAGAGAGAGAGAGAGCAGAAGCTGGGGAGTGGAAGAGGGAGAAGGAGAAGAAGACTGCTCACTGAGCAGGGAGCCTGATATGGGGCTTGATCCCAGGACCCTGGGATCACGACGGGAGCTGAAGGTAGACACTTAACCGACTCAGCCACCCAGGTGCCCTAGCCTTTCTTTTTTAAAAAGAGTTAAGGATACCCACTTAATAGAAATTCAGTCTATAGCTTCCAAAGTATCGAGGTGGGGGGGGGCATGAAACAAGGAAGATAAAGAAAATTTCAACAACATAATGTGTAGAAACAGAATGCATTTATTATTTCAGATATACTTAAAGAGATTATCTCACTAGTCGGATAAAGTCAAAAATCTTGCTATATAGTATCTAAAAGGGCATACTTAAAAAATGATGCTAAAAGATTGAAATTATTCCAAGCAGGTATTACCTAAAAGCAATATCAAAATCAGACAAAAGAGACTTTAATGCCAAAGTTTCATTAGCAAAGAGTGTTGAATACTATAAATGCGACAATTCTTCAGGACATGTAGCAATCCTGATCCTGAATGCCCCTAACTTCAAAACATAAAACCCAGAATGTTTGATTCTTTTTGATATATACTGAAAACACAAAATAAATTATTTTGTTTAGATAGTGATTTCCATGGAAACATCCCATTATGATATTATGATATGAAGATTTCCCCTTAAAAGACTAGACAAGTCCATTTACTTCACAATTTGATTTAACTTTTGTTTATATGTTTATCCATGTCATAAATGCACATAAAATACCAACTGGTTCCATAAGATTTGTTAGTAAAAATTATCCTCTTTTAGCCCATTCTCTTAATATTCTACTTTGACGTTCTAAATAACATACTTCTTTTTTATGGACTTCTTTAGTTTAGTGATTTCCTATGGAGAATTCCTATGGAGAATGAGGATTTAGTTCTTTGATCCCACCATCAGCACAGATACATTCCCATTCTTCCAAAATGTTTCTATCTTACCTTTGGTTAATTCACTGTTCAGTATCAGTATTACTGTGACTATACGTATGATATTCAGAGATGAACCACGTAGTAAACCATGGTTACTTTTTCCCATGCTACATAACTTTTTCCTCTATAGTTAAATGTCTTGTTCTTTTACTTACCTATGAACTCATCAATAATTTAATTCCAAGTTAAATCATCTTTCAAGATGTTCATTCATGCTCAATTTCCTACCAAATTCATTTTTTTTTATCATTTATTCATGAGAGACAGAGAGAGAGAGAGAGAGAGAGCGAGAGAGAGGCAGACACAGGCAGAGGGAAAAGCAGGCTCCATGCAGGGAGCCCGAAGTGGGACTTGATCCCAGGACTCCAGGATCAGGCCCTGGGCTGAAGGCGGCGCTAAACCGCTGAGCCACCTGGGCTGCCCCCAAATTCATATTCTTGAAGGCACTCCCAGAGCTTCTGACCTGCAGCCATCTGGACTGACCCACCTCTTGCCAGAACACAGCTGTCTTTTTGAGAAAGCCCTTTTCCCCACACTGGAGCTCCTGTTTCCGTATCCTATGCCTTCCTCTCTTGGTTTCCTTCTTCCTTTTAATGGAGCACGTTCTTCTGGAGACTCTTCAAGTCATATGGCAACTTGCATGTCTTAAAAATCTATTCTAATTCCTGATTGTTTGCATATAACCTGTTTGGTTTTTTTTTTTTTCCTCTGAAAGCTTGCAGAATCTGTTCTTTGGT